GTTGCCGGGGGCAGAGATGAAAATTAATGATGTAAAAATATCAATCTTTTATCTATCTTTAGAATTTTTTCGGTGGAATTTATGCGTATGCACAAAAAAGATACATATGTATTTGCACCAACCATAATCGACTGTTTTGTGAAAATTTGTCTTTACTTTAAATTTTTACAAATATCTCGAACCTCCATACTATTATTTAACTATACATACTTCTCCATACAATAATTTAACTATTGCATACATTCTATATATGCCTGTCCCAAGTCAGGAGCCTGTAATTTAGTGGTTGTCGTTTGTTGCTGTATATCATATTTGTTTTTCGTTATTATTTTGAACATACATCAGGCCGTTAGTTTTCTCGTTTGAATTGTTTTACATTTGTCATTTTGGGGTCTTTTATACCTAACTATGCCGTATGGGTTTTACTCATTTTTGAAGGCCGTACGGTGACCTATAGTTGTTTTTGTCTGTGTCATTTGGTTTCTTGTGGGGAGTTGTCTCATTGGCAATCATACCACATCTTCTTATTTTTATATGTATATAAGATGCAAACAATCCTAAAGTATGCACCTACATTAAACTTTTACAGCCCATAGAAACCAGAGGCGGATTTAGGGGCCCCCGGGGGCCCGGTCCCCCTTATGGAGCTACATATATGATAAATGCATATACTTTTTACAAGCATCAGTCCAAACGTTGGCTAACTAGACCTTTTCAAATTTCCTGGATCCGCACCTGGAAACAGATGTAAACAATTCAAATAAACCTACTTGACTATTTATGCCTTCTCTAATAAACAGTTCCATTTCTTTTCCAGTGGCGTAGCTAAGCCATTTTTAAGTGTACGCCCGAACCTCGGCGAGAGGTTTGAGGGTCCCCAGCGGGTACAGGGCAAGGGACCTCCCAGCAGGGGTCCGACGGAAGCTAACGATTAATTGAGAGAGAGATACTTTTTCTGTCATTAAAACTCATCAATAGCAACATACTTTAAAAGTCTAATTTCTTGATTTTTTCATGTATAATTTATTCAGTGTGTTGATTTGGAATCTAATGGCCAATAGTTGTTAGTATGAAATATGTTTAAAAGGAGATATGGGTTAAAACAATCAATCGACCAAAGATTCAAACCTTTCGAAATATAAAAAAAGCAAGTCTACATTTTCAACGGTTTCGTTCTTTTGATTATTATGACTTAATCTAGTTTTCTCCCCTTTTATGCGCAAATTTCGTTAATGGACAAGTACATGCAATAATAAATTTTCATAGATTTTCAGGTGTGATATAAACATACTCATAGGGTTCCGTGGAATCTTTGTGTTTCGCCTGGGATTGCTGCTGTCGGTTAAACTATAAAAAGTGAATCCATTTATCAGTCAAATACAGGATTTAAAAGAAATAAAACTTTTCTTTAAATGTTTTTCTTGATCTTAGACGATAAGCTTCTGTCCAAGTTTCATAACAATCTATGAAAGTTTACAAATGTAGAAGGTGAAAAATATTTAATTTAAGACCGTCTGTTAATTGCCCCAAAAAAATGGTAAATTACTGAACTAGAGGCTCTAAAGAGCCTGTGTCGCTCACCTTGGTCTATGTTCATATTAAACAAAGGACACAGATGGATTCATGACAAAATTGTGCTTTGGTGATGTTGATGTGTTTGTAGATCTTACTTTACTGAACATTCTTGCTCCTTACTATTATCTCTATCTATAATGAACTTGGCCCAGTAGTTACAGTGGAAAATATTTGGTAAAAATTTACAAAAATTTACAAAATTTATGAAAATTGTAAAAAATTGACTATAAAGAGCAATAACTCCTTAAGGGGTCAATTGACAATTTTGGTCATGTTGACTTATTTGTAGATCTTACTTTGCTGTACATTATTGCTGTTTACAGTTTATCTCTATCTATAATAATATTCAAGATAGTAACCAAAAGCTGCAAAATTTTCTTAAAATTACCAATTCAGGGGCAGCAACCCAACAACGTGTTGCCTGATTGGTCTGAAAATTTCAGGGCAGATAGATCTTGACCTAATGAACAATTTTATCCCGTCAGATTTGCTCTAAATGCTTTGGTTTCAGAGATATGAGCCAAAAACAGCATTTTACCCTATGTACTATTTTTTAGCCATGTCGGCCATCTTGGTTCGCGGGCGGGGTCACCGGACACATTTTTTAATAGCCGGACTCCGAGTCTGACAGTTATTGTAAATTTTTAATAGAAGTGGGACATTTAAAGACGTATCGTATCCGTATCTGATACGTTGACGTATCTGAACGTATCTATGGGTAATTGATCAAAATTGATTATTTACGTGTTTAAATAGTACATGTTTATGTGGATTTTGTTTTGTTATGTTAGATGTCTTTCGGTCATTCATACACTCTCTTTTTAACACGATAGTTTTCAATTTATGTTTACTCGTTTATATCTAAACACTCGATATTTAAACCATCGATCATTACTTTTCAGGCATGAATTTAAATGATACTAATGCGATATAGTTAATGATTGAGTCAAAAACTGTGATGATAATTTCGAGAACAAGGATAAGAGAGGGAACAAATAGGGAAAGGGTGATGAAAATTTTTGTTCTCTTTCATTTTTACTATTTGAAAAAAAAGTATTGCCTGCTAAATGTATTAAAATTGGTAGCAGTCACCAATCCGACTCTGCTGATGTTGAATGATTCATTTATTAGCAAATTTAAAGTACGCGTATAGATATTGTCAACGTAAACTTTAATTGTTAAATATAATTCAACTTCACGCCTGGGTAGTTCTAATGATTTAAATATCGAGTCCTAAAACTTGTACGACTTTGCCCCCAGCAGAGCTATAGAAAAACAGTACATTAACGGGTGTTACACGGCCACTTTTTAGATGATACACGGACACTTTTTAGTTGTTACACGGACACTTTTTATGAATAGAATCACTCGTGCATGATCGGTGAGTTCATGGGAACTTTAAATTTCAATTAGATTTGAACTTTTTGTTTCACCGACATATTTCCTGTCTTTTTAATTAAAATATTTACGCTAGCATCAATAACTATATTTTTTTTCAAACAATTCCAGTAACTATTCATATTAGTACACTAAGGGATTGACCATTTAACTTCAAAAGGTGGGTTATGGTTTTTTCCTAAAAAAACATTTTGATCCCCAATTTTATGAGCAAAAATATATAATATATTATATAGTTGAAAAACTAAATAATTTTCTTACTCAGAAAAGAACACACCCCCTTTTGAAGCTAAATGGTCGGTCCGTAAATGTTTTGTTTTTTTTCGATATATGGACATGAATAGTATTCTGGACAATGCTAAAAGAAATGCTGGTACCAACGTTTATATTTCAATAAAAAAGACAGGAAATATATGTAAAAAAAATTAAATCTAATCAAAATATAAAATCCCTATCAACTCACCAATGCACGATTGATCCTATAAATAAAAAGTGTCCGTGTAATACATGTTCAAATAGGCAGAAAATCTTGAAGAAAATCATTCAACTTATGTCATCAATTTTGGACGGTAAGCTCTGATTGGATCATATAATGACACGTGTTTAATCCTGATCAACACTATCAGAGACATTTAAAAACCTATAAGCATGAACATTTTTTTTAATCAGGAAATTCATTCTTTTGATACACTTATATTGTTATTGAATTCATATATATTGAATTCACATATTTGGCGGCAAACGTACGATTTTTACGATTTTTTTTAGGGGGAATGGGGGGGGAGGGGGGGCTGGAATGGCACATCCTGCATTCTTTCAACAAAAAAAGGATGTTGCCTGTTTATTTTAAATTTATTTTAACACCCCCCCCCCTTTTTCCCCAAATAAAAATCAAATGGTAGCTTGCTTAACTCTGAAATCTTTTTTTATACATTACTTACTTGCGAAGTTGCATTTCAAAAAGTCTCAAATGTGTATAACAATTACCTTTAACTTGAAATGGTTCTTTTTATAAAGTTATTAGATTCTTGAATTTTTTGAGAAAAAACTTACGGCTGAAGGGAAGTGAAAAAAAAATTGAGTTTAAACTGTAACTTACATTAACTGGTATATGGCCATTTAAGTTTCTAATATCTTAAGCTTTGCTATCTCTTCTAAATGCAAAATGTACTCCTTCCTTCTTGAAACGTCGTACAAGTCAGATACAAAACAAAGGTAACTAAAAACAGGCCGGAAACAACCTGCCGTATAGTTTGTCTGCACTTGTAGTCAGGTCAAGGTCCTCGGCTATCGCCTCGGACCTTGACCTGACTACTCGTGCAGAAAAACTATCCGGCAACGGTTGTTACCGGCCTGTTTCTTTGTTACCTTTGTATTGTATCTAATACATATACAATAAAATTGAGAATGGAAATGGGGAATGTGTCAAAGAGACAACAACCCGACCACAGAACAGACAACAGCAGAAGGCCACCAACAGGTCTTCAATGCAGCGAGAAATTCCCGTATATAGATTGACACGCAAAACACGTGAATGTTAAATGTGTGTAGATGTTAGCTTCTGCTGTCGTCCATGCTTTCATAATTGTATTATTAGTTTCTGTAAATATATATCGTAGAAACATCACCTTTAGGGCAACAAATGTAACAATAGATAAAAGAAGTCATGATTTTGACATACACGAAGCAAGTATATAAACACATTTTAAATACTCTATTAAACAATTATTAAAAAACAATTCAGGTATTGAAATTAATAGAGACCAAAAATAGTCATCAACCTTTCGCTTTTTTTTTCCAACTCTTTTCCCTATTCTCGATTGCTACATGTATTTTAACAATAACCAAAAGATACGTTCATATACGTCAACGTATCAAATACAGATACGATACGTCTTTAAGTGTCCCACTTCTGTTAGGACATATCGACCATACAGTGAGTAAGGCCAGTTATAAAAAGGCTATCGGCTATCTAATAACAAAGATCTGTCTCTACGTAGACATTCATTTAAAAAGTGTGTACATACCTGAAGAATAACTTTACAAGGTCGATAACGGAGCATGTCGCTTGCCAGTAAAATATACACCTATAAATAGAATACACAACAGCACTTATCAATGAGAGAGAGGCTCAACTTTGTGGTCTATTTAATTTTATGTTAACTTGATCTTTTGTGTGATAATGTTTTATTTCAAGCTACTGGACTCAGGAAGGGTTTTTACAGTCAGTATATTGTGTCATTGACATATTTTCTAGGAAAATAGAACTAAGGGAATGACCAATTAACTAGGGAAAAAAGACGGGGATTGGAGGGGGCAAGGGGGTATTTTTGATATTTTATAAGAATAATAATAATAAATAATTTATTCAACGAAGGTAACTCATTTAACATGTTGTTAATCAATCTTCCATGCGGCCTTCAAAAACGATTAATAAATAGAAAAAAACAAACAAATAAAATACATAATACAGTTAACTATGAAAGTAGCTTAATTATTAAATAAGCACATATTCATTCAATAGAAGAACAGGTATCTTCATTCTGTAAAGTTAAAAAATAGTTTGAACATTTGATTTTAAATGTATCTAAATTATTTGTTTCCTTAATATTATTTGGCAAATTATTCCAGGTAATAAGACCAATATTTTAAGAGAATCAGAATTAGGCCTTGGTACACGAAGAAGTCCTGATATTGTCGACCTGAGCGAATAATAAAAAAGATCAGTACATGCAGCAAATTTATTAGATAGATGATTGTCATAAACTACAACTAGATCTAGACTCAGCAGCACGATGGGAGTCAGATTGGCTCATGGCATTTCACCCTGATAAATGTACCAACCTTACCATATCACAAAAGAAAAATAACTACCGGCATAATTACATTTTCCACAACCACATTCTCGAATCAGTAACATCTGCAAAATACCTCGGCATAACCTTACAATCCAATCTAAAGTCGAACAAGCATATAGACAGTATAGTATCAAATGGGAACAGATCACTTGGTTTTTTAAAAAGAAATTTAAAAGTTACAAACACAGAAATAAAATAAAGGGCATACCATGCACTAGTAAGACCCAAACTGGAATATAGTTGTAGTGTCTGGGACCCCCATATGAAAGAACAACAGATAAAATTAGAAAAGGTGCAGAGACGAGCTGCTCGTTATGTACACAACAACTACGATTACACGAGCAGTGTCACAAACATGCTAAATCAGTTGAAATGGCCACCACTAGCTGAGAGACGCCTAAAACCAGACTTCTTTTATTTTATAAAGTAATACACTGTCTTGTAGCCATTCCATCGCATATTCTTGAACAAACAGACAACAGAACAAGACAAAACCATACTCAGACATACAGACACATCCAAACTTCCAAGGACACATACAAATGGTCGTACTTCCCGCGAACAATTATTCAATGGAAGTTACTACCACAAACTGTTATTGAAACCACCACTGTTGACAGCTTGTGAGATCAGCTAACACCAGCTGTTCTCTCTAGCTTCAAATAAACAAATCCAAACCAAAACATGTACATAAAACGCATATTTTTTAATCACAATCTGTAACAACTTAAATTGTTATTAAATATTTTTATTAATTTATATAAATTATTTTCAATCACGCATGCGCAACAACATGTATTCTTCAGTATTGAAGCCTTGTTGACCTAAAAGAAGAAGATAATCAGGTGTTAGACCATTCATACATTTAAACATTAACATGATTAAGATAGCTTGAAAGTATTGTATCTTCGTAAATATAGTCATCCATTCAAGCCCTTTAAACATTAAAATTGATTGAAAATCGAAAGAAACAGATAAAATTAATCTTGCAGCACGTTTTTGGAGATTATGAATCCTTTCTAGATTACAGTTTCTGGTAAGACCCCATACTGTACAACAGTAATCAATTTATTTTAATTTATACAATACACAGTAATACAAGTGAGTATTTTAAAACCTAAACCAATATGCCAAGGATCAGTCGGTCAGCTGATAAATAAACGAATAAGCCAAGATTCCTTTATGGTTTCCGTGGTGTTGTGGTTATCACTGTTTAAGAAATTGAATAGAAATGATTAAGTTTTATTTGATTAGGGACAATATTTTTTTTCAATTAAAATATATAAAATAAAAGGGGGGGGGGGGGAGAGGGATAATATTGAAAGAAGATATATATAAAAGTATAATTTGTAATATTTGATGGACATTATTAATACTGTGATTATATTGTATATAAATGTGTGTATATGTGTGTATATAATGATTGTCGAATGTATATATGATGTATGATGAATAAAGATAAAAAAAAAAAAATCAAATCCGCTTAACACGCGGAAGGTCCTGAGTTCAATCCTCAGCGGAAACATATTGTTTCGACCTGAACAAGGACGGATTTTTTTTATATAGGCACTGATGCGTCCACTTGTACAAATGTGAGAATCTTTTATCGGTAAATTTGCCTTTTCATATTCAATAGTTTTCTTAACTTAAAAAAAAAGAAAAGAAGGCAGGATTAACACTCCATTTCCACGGCTGTGTACTACGAAATTTCAAAGTGCAATAATATAAAAATAGATAGGAAAATGAATAAAATAGATATGCCATTTTGTACAGGTACCATGAGGAAACAATCATTCCCAGCAATGACATTTATTGTTTTATTGCATTTAATGGACAATGGGGATTGTGTGTCAACTCCAGACAAGATTTTTTTATAGAAAACCAATACATTTAATGTAACAGAATTTTCGTAATAACATTTGGAATATAAATTACTCACTTTGGTCTGTCTATGTTAATATTCTACCGTTTTTATCATTCACAGAAATTGCATCACTAAGTCTATCTATATGATAAGGATAATAAAAAAAAATTGTATTTAGTCACCAAAGACGAGCGCATCCTAAAATGTGTACTTGAATAGGTCCCTATTTGTATTGTTTTTAATGTACGCCTATCATTTGTCAACTTGTTTTAGTTAAGGATTTTATCGGTACCATTGCATGTAATTATTCTCTTTTGTTTCGATGCCGAATTTTTACATTTTGAGAGTACAGTAGGAAAGGCTGCACGCATTTTCTTTAAAATTCTAAATGGTCTAAATATAGCTACAACAAATTGTAACACGTTAAAAGAAACTGTTGTGTTTTTCAACTGGCACTTTAACCATTCAGTATGATATATAACAAATTAATTAATGTCACTTTGTACCAAATGTCAGTTTCTGAACCGTTCTGTCATCTCCCAAAAGCTATATAGACCTCAACTTTCCTTCGGTCTATATACTATTTGGTAGATGATCGGTTGTTCCATGGATTGCCGCATGGCCCTCGTTGCCAAAAAGTAGTGCTGAATTATATCTAGGTTTCAAAACAGATTAAAGCAAGCTTGAATATTTAATGTAATGGAGTCACCATTTACAAAAATATACCAGGTTCTGGCGAGGTTCGAACTCGCGACCTTCTGCGTGTAAAGCAGACGTGATAAAACCGGACACTCTACTTATCCAATATTTTAGAAGTTATACTTAAGTTAATTTCATGTGAAAATCGGTATACAATAGGCACATCATCAAAGTCTAACTTGGGCCTCTCAACTAAGATAGCTATAGTCCACACTGGTAAAAATGTAACACTGACACACATGGTGAAAAAAAGATAAACAGATAACTGCACGCTTCACTATTTCAGGAGCCATCATTTACTTCTTTTAGGTCTTAGAAGTGCTTAATATACTTTGCAGGAAGGACTTGTTAAATGCTTTATACAATATGCTTAAAAACACGGTAATACAAGTGAGTATTTTAAAAACTAAACCAATATGACAATGATCAGTCGGTCAGCCGATAAATAAATGAATAAGCCAAGTGTCATTAATGGTTTCCGTGGTGTAGTGGTTATCGCGTCCGCTTAACGACTTCCGGTTTTGATTTTGGATAAGGAAGACATGCCTTCTTAACCAGAGAAAAATCTGAGAAGTTTGTGTTTTGTGACTAGCCATCCGTTGATGGTTAGTCAATATTCTTTCATATATTGTTCAAGCAGAACTATTTGTAGCCATATTTTGTGCTTTTTGACACTTTAATAGACTTTTACGCCTCCATTCACCATGTCTGGTGGAAGTGGGGATGGTCGTTCCATCAAAGAGAAAACTGTTTTAGTGGATGTAGGTGACAACCGGACAGTAAAAGCTACCGATGTCATCACTAATGTTGAAAAAGAAGTTGGTGAAGGAACAGTTCTTGCATGTGTGCCAAAAAGTGGTAATATTTCTGAACTTACGTTTTCTGATAAAGATGCATTAGATTTGATTGTGGATACAGATTTCAAGGTGAATGATTCAAATTCTAAACCCAGAGCTATTTTTTTCGCGTGAAATAGTTGTCAGTTTTTTCAATGTGTCACACTATGTGCCTGACTCTGAAATACGGGAGAAATTGCAGGAGTTTGGAGCGGAACTCAAGTCGCCTATCAAGCGGAAAATCCATCCTGGTACTGAAGTCGCTAATGGTACACGGTATGTAGTTGTTAGATTTTCCCCTGACCGACAAAGTTGACGCGTCCACTTGTTCAAATGTGAGAATCTTTTATCGGTAAATTTGCCTTTTCATGTTCAATAGTCTTCTTAACTTAAAAAAAAAAACGAAAAGAAAAGAAAAGAAGGCAGAATAAACACTCCATTTCCAAGGCTGTGGGGGCCTCGGTGGCCGAGTGGTCTAAGTAGTTACTACTGTAATCACTAGACAGTCAACACTGAGGTTGTGAGTTCGAACCCCGCTCGTGCGGGTGCACTCGACTCCAATCTTAATTGTTTAGGATTGTCAGTTATAGACGAGCGCATCCTAAAAGGTGTACTTGAATAGGTCCTATTTGTATTGTTTTAAATGTACGCCTATCATTTGTCAACTTGTTTTACTTAGGGATATTATCGGTACCATTGCATGTAGTTATTCTCTTTTGATTCGATGCCGAATTTTTACATTTTGAGAGTAGCGTAGGAAAGACTGCACGGATTTTCTTTAAAACTCTAAATGGTCTAAATATAGCTACAACAAATTGTAACACGTTAAAGAAACTGTTGTGTTTTTCAACTGGCACTTTAA